CTCCCACAACAACAAATAAAAAAGGATGAAGAGAAATGTATGTTCAACAATGGTATTTTGTAACTTTTGAAACAAGTTGTGTCTTGAGTCTTTTTCTTGTGTTTTTGTCTCACTGACTCTAAGACCAAACCCATCTTGAAACTAATGTTTCTCCTTTTAAAACAAAAAAAAAAGCCATCAGTTTTTTGAAAAACAGACCTAGTATTTAAGTATGTTTAAATTACCCAATAATTTTTATTCATTTGTCATAGACATAAATTCTTGTCTGTGTTTCACTACTTAGATTTCTAAATTCGGAGCTGTATCTGGTATGTGTGACAGTGCTCTTTGAATAAAACTGAAAAACATCAGATAATGTTGTAGTATGATAAATAGAACATATAAGATTAAAGAATAAAATAAGGAGCCAGAGTTAAAAAAAGAAATGGCTATGTAACTTTACTTGGAAAATGGGAATATTTGACCATATGTGGTTTCCTTTCTCCATAGTAACAAGTGGCTGCAACAGGCAGATCGTCTCTGGTTTGCCACAGTCTCTACCACTTTGTAGTATTGTCTGATTTAATGGACTTATTTACATCATCTGCATAGCTGTTGGAGGCAACTGAGTTGGCCACTACTAATCTGAACATTTGTGGGCTTTACACAATAATAAATCATCCATTTTATCTGGTTTACTGTCTTAGAGAGGGGAAGTAGAGTTGATCCATTATTTGCAAATTTCGTCTTTGTAAATTTGCTTATTTGCTAAAATTTATAACCCCAACATTGAAACTTGTGTCATTTTCAAAATTATTCACAGACATATAGACAGTGACTGAAAATTTGACTTACCCAATACACACACATTCCCAGTTGAGGCTGAACAAGTTGATATCAGCCTTCTTGTTTCAGCTCTCTACAGTAAATAAGTGTCCTACTTTTAATCTCTTTAATGCCACATTTTTTGTGCCTTTTCCTGGTGAGTGCACTGTTTAAAGTGGCCCCCAAGCATACTGATGAGGTGCTATCTTATGTCCCTAAGAGCAAGAAGCTAGTGGTGTGCCTTACAGAGAAAATGTATGTGTTAGATGAGCTTTCGTCAGACATGAGCTATACAGCTGTTGACCAGGAGTTCCATATTAATGAATCAACAGTAAAATGTCTTTAAACAGACGCACGTGTAAAACAAGGCAATACTCTGATCCATTGATGAAAATGTTGTGCTTCGAGGCTCAAAGGAACCTAACCCAGTGTTTCTCCCAGGAAAAATGGATCAGTATTTACTAATTCAGTGTTTTCAGTGACTTTATAGAACATAATTACTGCAAATAATGAGAATCAACTTTAATTTTCCATCATTATTCTAACCTTTCTCCATTCTTCCTTTTTCCTTTCCTCATCTTACTTCCCTTCCCTTATCTTCCTTTCTTTTCTATCACCATCCCTTACCTCTTCTTCCCTCCACTCCTTCTATTTCCTTTCACTTTTCTCAACTCCTTGATGAGAACTGCTAGAAGAAAACAAACTCACCAAACCTATAGTGCTGTTTATATTGGTTCTTATCATTTCTAGAGAAGAGTTCTCAAAACTCCTAGGACCACAGCTAAAAATGATCATGAGAGAAGATGGAATAAGAGAGCGGAATGATACCATCTGTTTTAAATACAGATGGACTGTCCTGAAGAACTTTTACAATCGATGGTACTGTGATATTCGTAGGCTAAAATTTGAAGTCTTAATGTTTTTTGAAATGTGTTCTCTCTAGTTGTGTAAAGAAAGCAAAAATTCCCACTACTGGATCAATAAATCCCATCATGATAAATGGAAAAATATTGAAGTTGTCAAAGACTTCCCCTTGCTTGGGTCCACTATCAACCCTCACGGAAGCAGCAGTCAAGAAATCAAATGACATATAATCCACACAAGTGTTCAAAAACAAAGATGTCAGTTTGAGGACTAAAGTGCACATAACCCAAATGATATTTTCAATAGCTTTGTATGCATGTGAAAGCTGTAAAATGAGTAAGGAAGACCATTGAAGAATTGATGCATTTGAGTTATGGTGTTGGAAAAGAATATTAAGAGTTCCATGGACTGCCAGAAGAACAGACAAATCTGTGTTGGAAGAAGTATAGCTAGAGTGCTCCTTAGAAGCCAGCATGGTAAGACTTCGTCTCTCATACTTCAGACATGTTGTCAGAAAGGACCAGTCCCTGGAGAAGGACATTATGCTTGTTAAAGTGGAGGATCAGTGAGAAATAGTAAGACCCTCAATGAGATGGATTGGCACAGTGGCAGCAGCAATGAGTTCAAGCTTACCAACGATTGTGAGATTGGCACAGGACTAGGCAGTGTTTTGTTCTGTTGTGCATGAGACCACTATGACTTGGAACTGACTAGATGGCACCTAACAACTTAACAAAGTTATACATGAGGGCTTTAAAAAGTTCATGGAAAATTGAAGTTAACAAATAATGGAAATTTTTCATGAATTTTTTCAAATCCCTCATATGGTATTCCTTTGTCTCTGTAAAGTATTCCTGATATGTCCACAGTAACTATATTTAGGTGGTAAGAAATCTGGGAAGCTTTTATCAGAACTTACATTCCTGAGGAGTAGCTATATTTACTGTAAAACAAACCCACAGTTGTGCTGTGTGAAATCCAAGTGGTCAAGTGGACAGTGTTTTTGTTATTTTTAAGTGCAGTTGAGTCAGTTCAGACACATGGCACCCCTGTCTTTAATATGGTTTCCGAGGAGCAGCTGATAGGTTTGAACCACTGACTTTGAAGTTCAAACTGACCTTGTGGTCCAGTGTTTATCCTACAGTGCTACACTAGGACTCTGGACAGCCTTTGGTGGTGGTGGTGGTGTGCCATGGAGTTGGTTTTCTGACTCATTTCATAGTGACCCCACATAGGGTTTCTGAAGTTATTATAGGAGCAAAAAGCCTCATCCTTCTCCTGCAGAGGAATGGCTGGTAGTTTCAAACTGCTAGCCTTGATGTTAGAGTTCAAGTCAGAACCACTACACTACCAGAGCTCCTTAGATAGTTTTAGAGGGTGAAAATTATGATGAGAGATTGAAAGAAAAAAATGAGTTTTCTGCCTGAGGTGATCACTTTAAAGGTTCACACTTCATGAATTCTGAATCAGTATACTAAATATCAATATATTTGAACATGTGTTGAAGTACTGTACCTGGAATATTCAAAATATTAATCAGGAAAAAGTGATGTTATTTATTTGACATCTAGTGGAAAACAAAAATTTGGTGATGTCATAAGTATTCTAATTTGAATAAAAGAATATATGCCAATAACTGAAATTCACAGATTGTCTCTAAATGTTATTTGGTCAAACTACAGAAAAACAGGTAATAAGTATCCAAATAGGCTTCCATTTCTGGAACACTCCTACACACCCTTCAATATCAAGTGACTCAAATGTAAACACATCTGTGAAACCTTCCCAGCCAGCTCAGTCTTCTTCACCATCTGTCCTAAATCAGGCAGCTGAGTGTTCCTCTTCTGGGAACCCACAACACTCTCAATCTAGTTATAATACATAATTTTATCACACTGACTTTAAGAGGTCTGAACTACGCCCTTGATATATCTCATAGCTCACTAACCTGTGAACTCTTCAAGGTAGGGATTGTAGCTTATCCATCACTAACTTTCAACTGGTGTGGTGCTATGGGTTAATGTGCTATACTCCAAAGTTGGTTGTTTGACCACAAGGTTAGTGGTTCAAGCTCACCAGTCACTCCTTGGAAACCTTATACAGGGTCGCTATGGATTGGAACCAACCCGACAGCACTAAAAATAACAGCAACACCTCTACCCAATAAACTATCAGAGAATCACACATAAAGCAAGTGCTAAATACAGAAGGAAAAAATGAAGAGAAGATTTGACTTTTACTTCCTCTTCTTTTTTCTAGTCACAGATGTGAAAAGCAAGACTAAAGGGTCTTGCTTTTAGGATCAAGGCAATTTACCAACTGTCTGGTTAATTGCCTTGATCCTAATGTTGTTGTTAAGTGCCGTCGAGTCAGTTCCAACCCATAGCAACCCTGTATAGGGTTTCCGGTGAGTAGCTGGTGAGCTTGAACCACTGACATTGTAGTTCAAATGGCTTTGCAGTCTGGTGCTTTAATCCACAGCGCCACACCAGGACTCCTTGATCCTAATGGGTACATCTAAATTCTTTGTAATGGTTTTGCAGTAATTTTTCTTATAATGAATTCTTCTGGGACTTCACTTGGATCTTTTAAACTGTTCTAGGGCAATGCAATTGGTCTTCATGGACTTGGTCTTCTTTACTTTTATGGAAAAGGAGTTCCTGTGGTAAGCTAAATAATTTCATTACCTTTTCTTCACATTTCCAATAATTTAAAGATAAAATTATTGTCACTTATTAATTTAAAGTACTTAGTCTCATCACCTAGTTTTCCAGATTATCATCATAGAGAATTAAACAACTGAGTGAAATATTTGCCAAATATATGAAAAGCAAACAGACTTGTGATAAAAATAACAACTCTAATGATATAGATTCTAAAAACCCTTGCTATCATCTAACCCCTGAGGATTTTATTTATAGAGAATTTTGTCTTTTTACTTTAACCTCTCTGTCTTTTGAGTGACCTTCCTCAATATCTAACAAAATCTACTGTTCATGTGGGGAAAGACATCATTTGTAGTAAAAATGTGATAGCTGCTTCCTAAGAGAATTTGATATGAGTTGGATAAAATGTATAATTCTTTGATACCATTTTTATTAGCCTAAATCACATCATACACTGCCTCTATTTTTCAAAAAATATCTGGAAAGCAATTGTTACAATGGGTTATATATATGCCTTTGAATAATATGGTGTAATTATCTTACAGAATTATGCTGAAGCGCTTAAATACTTTCAGAAAGCTGCAAATAAAGGATGGCCCAATGCACAGTTTCAGTTAGGTTTCATGTACTACTGTAAGTGCGACAAAGATGGCTGCTTTATTTAGAAGGAGAAATGCATTGTTAAGTCTGCTACTTTGATAACAAAAATGAAATGGCTGGTGTGAGTGGTTTGGATGAACATTCAGGAAGCAATTTGGAAGAGGAACTTGAAGACTGAAGGAAGATAAGTTGGGGGAGAGGGCAGGGAACTATAGTGTCAGAAAACTCACTTTTGGAAATACTAAGTCTGAAGTGCCTGTGTGGTATACAAATGCACATACATACCCAGAAGCAAGGATGACACTCAGAAGTCAAACTTGGAAAGATTTGGGAAGTATTAGCATACAGGTGCTAGTTAAAGATTTAAGGGTAATTGTGCAAGCAGAGAGAAAACTGAGTGTGAGAGAAAGGAGTAGTGGGTCAACATCAGACAACTGGTAAATTTCAGTGCTGTATTCAAAGGAGTCCTGGTGTGGCTCTGTGCGTTAATGCGCCAGACTGCAAAGCCATTTGAACTGCAAGGTCGGCAGTTCAAGCTCACGAGTCACTCCTCAGAAACCTTACACAGGGTTGCTATGGGTTGGAACCAACTCAACAGCACTTAACAACAACAACAAATTGAAAGGATGGACAAAAGAGAAATAGTCACCAAGAAGACTGAAAAGGCATGGTCAGAGGAAGAGGGAATAAAAATGTTCCTAAGGAAACCAAAAGATTGAACTATCAAGTGAGAATAAATAAATGAGCACCCATGTGCAATGTAGTGAGAAGCCTGGTTAAAAAATAAATTAAGAAAGGACTGAGTGTGAAATGGAGACTGTTGATGAGGTCATTGGACTGTTTAGGATGAAAACCATATGGCAGTGGATTGGGTTGCAAATGGAAGATGAGAAAGTAGGTAAGTAAAAAATATTTTTGCAAGAAGTGTGCTTAAAGAGAAAAGAACTAGAATGGTAGCTTACTGCAGACCAAGAACCAAGAGAGAATTCCTTTTAAGATAGTGGGTGAGCTGAGTATGATTTTTCACAGAGAAAAGAAAACCATTCAATGGAAGTGGTGAATGGATAATGGGTGAGATAAGATCACTGATGACAAGAAGTTCTGGAAATATTTGGGTGGCAATAGGATCTGAGGAGTCCTGGTGTGGCACAGTGGGTTAATGCTACAAAGCCGTTTGAACTGCAAGGTTGGCTGTTCAAACTCACCAGCAGATCCTCGGAAACCCTATACAGGGTCGCTATGGGTCGGAACCGACTCAATGGCAGTTAACAACAACAACAATAGGATCTGACATGGCCCAGAAAAAGGAAGGGTCTAGTTAGCCTTGATAGAAGAGGGATTTCTCGCCCTTTTAGACTAGTGGGATAGAGGAAAGCAGAGTGCAGTACCATAGGGTAAGGGGGTGTGGGGAAGAAAGCCAAATGAAGAAAGATAATGCAGAGTTTCTTCAAAGAGCTAGGATGTACAAAGTTTCCTTCTGACAGCCAGGGGAGAGTGGTAGGGGCAGAGGTCTTACGAAGCCATGAAGATATGGTATTATCTCAGAGGGAACTGAAAGAGAAAGTGACCAAAACAAAAACCATGAGATCTGAGCATACCTGAGTATTTCACTAAGTGTTTCCCATCAAAGATGGATCCAGGACAAGTTCAAATTGCATCATCCAGGAGGCCAGATCTGGTCAGGAGGTCAGCAGGCATTTTCCACAGTGGCTCAGTGGGAGGGCTTGTTTGGTACTGGCCGGGGAGTATGAATCTGTCTAAAATGGCTTTGAGCCCTGATAAGTACTGAATCAGCAGTTCAAACCCACCAGTCACTCTCAGAAATCCTATATAGGGTCACTGTAAGTTGGAATTGACACAAAGGCTCACAACAACAAGATGGCTTTGTTCTAATTCATTCTAAGTCCTAGGCCTATCATCAAGATTCTTCAAGCTTCTAGACTGAGCGTAACAATAATACCAAACACAAGCTTTTACACATCTTAGAAGTCCCTGGCTGATGCAAATGGTTCATGTGTTCAGCTGTTACCACTACCAACTTCTCTGAAAGACATCACATTAGAAGATTCTGGACAGAATGGGGGAAAAAAGGTGAAACAAACTTCAAAATCATAAAAGAAGACCAGGATTACTGATCAGATATAGACTAGTGGGACCCCTGAGATTATGGTCCTTAGTTACCCTTTTGGTTTAGAAATGAATTCACACCTGTGACTTCGATTTTCAGCCAAACGATAGACAGGTCTAAAAGAGGAGCAACACTAGAGAGGTATCTACACCTTAGAATAATCAAACATTTGAGATCAAAAGGGCAGCATTTACTCTAGGGTGAAATTCAGAAGGGTTATTGTGAAAGGAGAATGGAAACAGGAAACTTTAGGAAGAAAGTGGGATAAGGGATTATAGGGATTGCAATCAATGACATGAAACAAAATGTAAATGAATTGTTGAGTGGAAAAAGTGGTTTTGTAAACCTTCACTCAATTCACAACAAAAAGTAAAAATAAATAAATAATAATATGCTCAACTCACAAGAGGAGTAATGAGGATGCAAGAGGAAGTATCCTAGATTATGAGAAGCTCTTGAATCTCAAGCCAGTGTTTTCTCTGCCCTACTGCTCCCAAACAAATCTGACCTAAACTGGGCCTCCTAGAGACAGACTTTACCTGCTCCAAACTCCAGTTACCACCGGGAAGAGCTCTCTGGTCCCCTGGCATAGAAAGATGGTTAGGATAGCAACATACCTCATGGCGGAACTTCTGGTCCTCAGAGATTACCACTTGGGCTTCTTTACAAAATGGTAGTTAAATCACATTAGGGGGATATTTTCATAAGGCGGAGCAGTCCTTCTTCCTCAATTTTCTGAATAGGTCAAGAACATAAATTTCCACCTTTTTTACTGATAACTAAACATCACTTTTTTCTACAAGTAGTGGTTCTAGAGCAGTTTGACTTTCTTTTGGCTTTTCTTGTCCTATTTAAAAATAGTAGGCCTCACTATAACTAGAAATCCATAGATTATAAGTAAAATAAACTGAATAAGAGGTGGCCCAATATTATGTTAATTTTCAGCTGGCTCTGGAGTATGGAAGGATTATCAACTTGCCTTCATATACTTCTACTTTGCATCTCAAAGTGGGCAACCCCTTGCCATTTATTATCTGGCCAAGATGTATGCCACAGGAACAGGAGTGCTAAGATCCTGCAGAACTGCTGTGGAGGTAAATAATAGGTTCTTTTACAGTACTTTTTATTTATCCTACAGAGGAGGTGATGATATCTTTAACTTGTTGGTGCCTTTGATTTCATAAATATTACTTCTTCTCCTTCAGTTGACAAATGTGAGTGCTGACATTTGCCAAAGAGGAAAAGCAGAGATGCAACTCAAACTGGGAAAGGGGAGGAAAGAAATGACCCCTTTCTTTCTTGCATTTGGCTTTTCATCAAGTTTAGAGCTAGCCTTCATGTTCGGTTAAGGAGCTCTGCTTCAGCCTTCAAGCAAATCACTTCTAGTGTAGTTGGGAGTTGCTACTTGGGAAATGAAACACGTGACTTAACTTAGAAAATGTAGCCCACTTCTGCCCAAAAACCAGGGCCCTTATGTTTTCGATGATTTTGAGGACAATTGAGAAAGTGGATTCTTTCGACTAAGCCAGTGATGTACTTTTCCAAAGAGGTAATTTTAGGACCTTAATGCCTTTCATTGATTTATTAAACATTTCCGCTGCATCAATATAAATACCTCCATGTTGCAATCTGGTCCCTCTGAAACTCATTTTAAAAGCTGCCAGCTAATAATCTATCTTTAGATTTGCCTCTTTGCCAACTTCCTAATGAATTATTTATGGCTAACCTCTTTTGGTTACATAAGGGCTATTTAGCTCAGTCGGATGTTTATCCCCACAGTTCTCTTACACACCTTTCTTGCTGTTATGTCAACTGTACCCTCAGGCACTATCTTCCCTTCCTTCTCGCCTTTCCACGTGGCCTTATAACTCACCCTTGCAGAGCAACAATGCCCAGAATGTCCCTTTAAAGAAAATTAGAAGTCAGTCATTCCTGTCCTGCCAAATCGTCCCCAAGTCAAGAAAGTTTATTACACAACTTTAAAATAAGCCTGAGGACGTTTCAACTCAAGACAAAAAATATACACTTGTAATCTTTGCACCTATAAGGGTATTAGCTCTCCCTCGTAAATAATCTGCAAAACTCATTCTTCAGACCTGAAAACCTTGCCTGATCAACTAACAGAAGCTGAAGACTGGCTTCATTTATCATCTGCCTGGAATGAAATATGTTATCTAACTATTCTGTTTGATTTCTCTCCCCATATACAGCTTTATAAAGGTGTCTGTGAACTAGGCCACTGGACTGAGAACTTCCTGACAGCATATCTTGCCTATAAGGATGGTGATATAGATTCTTCTCTTGTTCAATATGCACTACTTGCAGAAATGGGGTATGAAACAGCTCAAAGCAATTCAGCATTCATTTTGGAATCTAGTAAGATAAGTTAAAAATTCTCTGCAATTCCCCAATCATACATATACAAACATGACTTTACTATATGGAAATTTAAAGCTTTACTAATAGAATGGTTCCTTTTTCAGAGAAGGCTAAAATTGTTGAGAAAGAGAAGATGTATCCAATGGCACTTCTGCTGTGGAATCGAGCTGCCATTCAAGGTATTGAACTTAGATAAGAATAAGTGTACATTTGGCTCCTTTCCACTGTTCTTCTATCTGACTTCAGCTGCATTCTTGGGCTCACAGTCAGAATGGTTCAGAATACCAAGTAGATGGCATTTCAAACTGTATTGATGGTCACTGTTGGGTTAGCCTAGAGGTCATGTTTAATAATTCATTTCTGTGGTTCATTCGCTATGACACCAGAATGGCTGCTTAAAACATTACAAATTTATTCAAGTAACCAGTGTTCTGAGTGTTCTGAGGTCTTTACTGAACTAATCAGAGATATGACCTATATCTCAGTGAGTTTATATGTGAAATCATTTCTGTATCTGAAACTCATTTGATTTCTCTCTTGAAATATCACATTGATGATTACCACAATTTT